GCAGCGCGTTCAGGGCGTGCGCCCCGCAGAGGCCTTGCTCCTGCGCCTCACAGTATGTTCCAGCTGGCGGATGGACCCAGCGGTCGTCTTGGCCTCGCAGGGCCCGGCCCCTGCGGAGTCGCGCCAGGCCGCCGCCACGCAGCGCTCCCGGTCCGGCGGGCGTCGCCGCTGGCTGCACATCGGGTCGCGGCCGGGCAGCGGTGCTGCTGAGGGTGCACCCCGCCCCGTTTTGGGTGCCCTCCCCGCAAGTGGGCGGTGCCGGTGTTTTGTGATGATCACCGGTCATATGTGATTGCGCTGCATCTGCCGGCGGGGAGGCGCCGGGGGTCATGTTGACAAGGGCCTGTTGGCACGCTTGAAGGACGCGATATGTACCGCGAGCGCGTGGGATGTGGTGGCCAAGCCACGCTGCATGATAAGATCCTTTGCGCGGTTGGCGCCAGCCCTTGCGGGCTGTGGGCGTGCTGCTTGTGAGTTTGCATATTGCTGCTGACAGCGTAGGTTGCTTCCCTTGTGACAATTGCATGGCTGTGCGTACCACGTGCAGTGCCTTAGCGCGCACCGCCTCCTGGATGTTGCTGCGCTGACGCGTGGGCACGAGCATGGCCAGCGGTGCGGGCACGTGTGGGTGGGCGGGTGCCGACCAGCGAAGGGAAGCTTGGCCGCGTGCAGCCGCCTGCTGGAGCATACACACTCTTTTTCCCCAAGCGCGGCGCCTTCTCAAGGCGAAAACTGCTGCCGCCGTGCTGTACACTGCTGCTAGGGCTCCCTGGAGGCACGGCGCGGCTGCCATCAGCATTACCGTTGCTGCTGCTGCCATCTCGGGCACTGCCATGTGGGCTATGTTTGAGAGTGTTGGGGCAGCCGTCGCCCCTGCAAGGTGCGCCATTAGCAGTATAACAACAGAGAGCCACCATTTACTTCGTGTCCACACACATATCTCGCGGGGTTTTCTGTTGTTCCGTCTCACAGCCGCCCACAAAGGCGCAGTTAGAGATGCTGCAGTCACGGTCCACTCCCCCGCTCTGTTGTTTCGCCCCATACAGTGATTTTCTCGTGTTTTCCCTGCCCGGTTCTGGGAAGTAATATGGTTGTCGCTCCCAGTGGTCATGTAGCCATCGCTTCGCGCCAGCGGTCGTGCGAGCAGCAGCAGTGGTGCGGCTGGTGGGGTGTGCATCTCACCCTCGCGGGTGACTCCGGTGCATTGACTTGCGTGGCTATGCCTCTTCGGGCAGTTGCGTGGTAGAGACGCGTTTTCGTGCAAGTTTGATGTTGTTTTTCGCCGCCGGGTGACCATTTCGCGGTCGCGTTCGGTGTCGGGGTGTTTGTACTTGGCGCTCAGATTCGGATTGTTCTCCATCTCCGGTATGTCACCAAGCTCCGGCTTATTATTTGTGACAGCGCGCTCCTGGCGGTGTGTTACACACCCGTGTTGACGGTGTTTTGCAAGTGTCTGCGGCGGGTCTGCATTCCCTGTTCCACGCTGCGCTGCGTCAATGCTGGTCACGCCTGTTGCCGGCGTTCCACCTGCGGCTGGGGTCGCGTGGTACCCGTGGGGTAGGGTTAGGTTATCCTGGGATGAGGCGTATGCATGGTGTGTGTCTTCAGCGCCTGTCCCCCTTGCGCATTGGCTGTGCTGCACGGCCGCACGTGTGTGTGTCCGCGTGCATGCGTTTGCAAGTGACCGGCACACTGCCCCTCTCTTTCCACTTCCTGCGATCTTTAGGTGTTGCCGCCGAGGGCTTCCGTGTTGCGGCCGGCCGGTGTTCAACAGCGGGTCAGCATTCCCCTGTTTTTGCTGCGCTGTGTCGCGGCTGGTTGCAGCTGGCGCAACCGTGTTGCTTGCGGCTGTATACGCTGCGCTCTTGGGAGCCGAGGGCCCGTGGTGCTGATAGACTATCGGTCCCTGCACGTGGCCGGCGAGAGGAGAAGCGGGTATCCGTGCATCACCATACATTGAGATTTTACCAATGGGATGATGTGGTGTGGTGTTTGTCATGCTTGCTGCGGCCGCGCGGCGGGCGGGGCCATGTGCGTGCGTGTTGTGCATATAAATGATGATTGAATATGGGCTTGGGTTGAGGGCGGGGGGACGCGTGGGTTGCACAACAGGCGTGCGGCCTCGGCCCCGCCTCCCCGGCGGTCTGGCGCCTAAGCCAGTTTCCCTTGCAGAGGGATTAATGCATCGCGGCGACTTCGGGCGCAGACCAGGTCCGGCCAAGGCTTTGGTGGCACACGGCGGCCCGTGTGTTGTTGCGGGGGCCCTTGCAAGGGGCGCAATGCCATGTGCCGCCCCTGTCCCCGCCACTGCTGGACATGGGGGTTGCCAAAGCACGCCTGGCTTTTGTGATCGCCAGAGCAGCAAGCAAGAGCACCACTGGTGCGTCCGTCTCTTTTGCGTCTTCTCGCCTCCCACGCTTCGCTTGTCGTTGGTGCCGGCTTGCAGCGGGGGGGTGGGCTCGGACTCGCTGCCGCTCGCTTCTTGGCGGCAGGCCCCCGGTGCACAAGCCCAGCAGCTCTCAATCCTGTGCATTGCGTTAGGTGGGGTCACGGAGGGGTGGCAGGGTGGGCCAGGTTGTCGGGTCAGCCGTGCAAGTGATTGGGGTGGTTGGTGGGGTTGATTGTTGGTGAGGGTGTTGACCTCGAGGGGGTGCGCGCACAAGGCGCCGTTCATACCCTCGCCGCCCGCTGCAGCGCCCCGTCCTTGCTCGCCATCCCCGGCTGCCAGGTTGCCCGCACTTGTGCATGCCCCGCGGCATTTGCGGCGCTCTGTGGGCGCGCCGCCCTGCTGACTTGCCTGGTCCATCATGGTCGCGTCGCCCCCGCCTCCCTTCTCGACCCGGCCGTGCACTTTGCGACCCCCGCCGCCCGGAGTGCCCGCGCCGTCTGTCCCCCTCTTGCTGCTGAGGCCGGTGGCCGGTGCTGCTGGCGGGCAGGCGGGGTCCGCAGCGCTGGCGCTACCGGGCGTCGTTGCCCCTGCCGCTGCCTCGTGCTGCGCAGCAGCCAGCTCAGCCGGGCCGGCGGGCGCTGCATTGCTCGGCCCCGCGCCTGCCCCCATCTGAGGAATACTCATCTGAAAGGGGCGCTGGTGGCCGCCAGCCGCGCGGCGCTGTACCTCCCCGCGCGAGAGGTTCTGTCCCACCTGGAGCGTCACGTTGGGCGGAGCGGGGCCCTCTGCAAACAGCTGCCGGGGCACGACGTCCCGCGCGGCCTGTGTCGGTGCGGCCGCGGCGCTGCTGCCTCCGTCGCCTGCCCCGCCGCCGGCCCTCGTCCCGGGCTGCACCATTGCCGCTCGCGCCGCCGCGGTGGCATCCCTCTGCAGCTGCGCGCTTTGCTGCGTGAGTTGGTCATAGGTTGGGGGCGAGGCCCCCGGCGCTCGGCCGAGCGCCATCTCCAGGGCGCCCTCGGCTGGGGGCAGCGCCGCCACCGCTGCCGCGGCCAGCACCGGCGCGGCGGTCAGCCGCGGCTGCGCTTGGGGTGGGGGCTGCGGCGGTGCGGGCTGCTGCATTGCGGGCTGCGCCGCGGGCACTGCGGGTGCGGCCGCCGCGGGCCCCGCGGGCGCCGCAAGGGCGGCGATCAGCCCCGCCTGTGCTTGGGGCGGGGG